TAGAACCGAAGCATTTCGGTCGGTACCATAAAAGAACCGAAGTTCGGTACCCAGCCCTAGCATCATGCATGCAGAATTAGCAAATAGAAAAGTACTATAGCATTAAAAGATGTGTACTTGTTATTTAGTCATGAAATTATATGTAATATGTAATTACCATGACAATGTAATCAGTACGTGTATATTACATGGAAATCATCAATTTAACACTTTTGGCACATCTGTATTATTATGCTCCATCAACACATTAATTGTGTCGTGATGGATTTGTATGATTATATTACATGATTTAGACTTAAATCACTTCATACTGACTATGCAAGGTGATGTGCCTATTATTTTTTTATCATAAATTAAAGTAATATACTATGAAACAGCAAGTGTGTCTCAAAGTGATGAATTTATCTTAATTTAAAAAGTCTTAAGCCCCCCTAAAAAATGAGAAAATATTCGTTGTTCGATGCTGTAGCGCACATTTTGTTTACATTGTGACCGGTCTAACTAGTAGGTACCAATATGGCGGCCGGTGACTTCACTCCAGCCTGTACTACCAAGGGGCTATCAGCAGTCCGGTGAATAAATAAAGATCAGCGATGCTAACAGGAGAGTAACCACCTTTCATGCATCATCTCACTGCTCAATAAATTAAAACCAAGATTCAGTGTAAATTATAATTTTTATTTTGGCTTTCACTAGGTAGAGATTGAGCCTTTTTCTGTATATTTACAATAAAAAAGATCAAACTTTGGTACCTTGACAAAGCTCATGCGGATGGTGCACATCTTGGTGAGCTCATAGACAACCTCAAAGCCATGATTGACGGACTGGGCGAGAAGCTGAGCAAACAACTGGTTGTTGAAGATCTTCAGGCTGCAGCCGCTGGGGATCTTGCAGACGGTGGAGGTGTGGAAGCCATGCTGGAAGTTGCAGTTGCGGCTCTGCACAAAGATGCTGCTGTCGCTCAGACACTCGGCATAAACCTCCCCACCCACATAGTACAGATGCAAACCTAAAAAAAAAAAAGGGGGAGGGAGAGGATAATATCAACAAAAAGTTCTGCACAAATGAACCACTAGATAAAACAGTTTTGAAATACAATACTATAACAATAAAATGCTTTCTTTTTATCCTGCATCTTTGCCCTATTTTTTTAATATCTCAAGAGCCAAAGCAAGCGTAAAATGAATAAAGACTAGTTCTGTTTACCAGCACTTTAAAAAAATTGAATTGTCTTGAGCGCTGTACTGAGCGAAATTTCTTTTTGTCTTTGTGTGTACAAAATGACAATAAAGTCTAAGTCATCAACATTTGTATTTTTTTGTTTTTCTTATTTTAACCAAACCCAGTTTAACTCATACAGTACATAACAACAAATAGATTTGGCAAGTCATTTTTGTTTTAAATATTCACATGCTGTTACACAGTCAAACACATACATTGAAACTAAACTGCCAAGCATTGAAAAGTGAAGTTGTTTCTGAAAAGGGAAGTGAAGCAATGAACAAACTGTGGGTTTAACATCCCTAAGATTTAAAATAAATCCAGGTGGCCTGATATAATTCAAATCATTAGCTGGTGCAAATAGTTCACAACATTAACGCACATTATAGTTCAGCCTCAATTTAAGATTCCAAGGTAATAAATTAAGCCTTTTATGACATCAGAGTATATGTGCATTCCTATTTTTCGATACGCATCTGGATTGTAAAACTGCTGCTTGGTAACCCTTTATCAGTTTAAAGCCTGAATGGAATATAATGCAACATTTTCCATGCATCCTTTAAAATAAATAAAAATGAATGGGTTGTAAATCAGCTGGGGGTGCCTACCTTTTCCTATGTGTCTGCGTGTGTGCTCGATGGTGGAGTTGCGGTTGACATTGGAAAGTAGACCTAGACAGAATCGGTTCTTGTTATTGGAAGGGTCTGTGAAGCCGTCCACCAAGACGCTGCGAGATGAGGCGTGGAATGTCTCTCCCACCCGGTTGTTGAGCTCATAGTAGGCTATGGAGCACCAGTACTCAGGCTCTTCGTAACAAACGGGTCTCATATCTAACGACAGGGTTAAGTCAGAGGTTATGTCGGACTACTATTTAAATTCTTTTATAATGGCGAAAAATGTTTAGTTACCTCTGTGTGGGGCAGAAAATGTGAGTTTTGTGGTTTCGGTGGAGTTGCTTGGCTTCACGTCCTCCGGAGCTTTTGTCTCCATGATGCTATACGGCGGTGGAGGAGTCTCCGCTACAAGTTGACAGGAATCAGATAGGGAAAAATATTCATCCAGTCCATTTCTTTATATGCTTTGATTTTTTTTTTTTTTTTTTTTTTTGTTCCTACCTGTGATGTGATATGGACTGCCTGGTTCTGCAGAGCTGCTGGGGGAGTTGGGGTAACTCTGTGAGGTGGGGGACTGTGCAAGGGAGGAAGCTGGAGAGGAGGAGAAGGAGGAGACAGGAAGCGGCGGGAAAGAGTCTGGGTAGGTGGCGTTCTGTGGCATCAGTGGTTCATTGTTCAGGGAGGCGTTCCTGAACTTGGCCAGTAAACTGTGCTGAGGGTTGAACTCGCTGTGACGTGGGACCAGAACTGGTGGAAGCACTGATCACACAAGAGAGAGCTGATAAAACATCCGAAGAAGACAACTGACTCTAAAGATTCCCCTAAATTCTCATGAACAGAAGATGCTTATCCATACTTTCCTCTTTCTCGGGTACCCAGAAAGCTGATCTAGCAAAAACTCTAGCAGATTATCCCTATCTATAACATTTGTAACATCTATACCTGGAGTCTCCACACGCCTATAGTGGTACGGATTGACGCAAATGTCCTTCTGTTTGGAGCCAAAAGGGAACTCGCAGCATTCCAGGGGTTTCAGCTCATGGTGAGACTGGAGGTCAGGCCAGCGCCACACCCTGCAGTAGATGACATGGGGAAGGCCCTTCCTGTGGGACACCTGCAGCCTCCCATCCAGTGACCGTGGAATCGTCACACACTTACCTGTAGGTTTGCACACATAAGAAAAAGAAGACAGGTAAACGTCTTGCTAAAAACAGACAAAACTGAAGTATCAGAGCTCAGGAATCATTTTGCTGTTGTAGTTAAAATAGATTGAGCTGCTTGCTATCTTTTTTTTTTCTAAAGAAAATGTGACAAATATCAAAGCTCATGATAAAAAATTATCCAAAGAGAAGAGGATCAAAACTTTAGACACAGTGATCTTTTATTCAGCTGACTGGTGCCCTCAGCTGATCATCAAACATTAAACTGCAAGACAAGTTAAATGTTTAAACCAAATGTAACCAAGAAACCAAAATTAACTTAAATATTTTAGATAGAGTTAGAAAAAATATGTTCAGTTTGTATATTTACACTCAATTTAATTTCTAAATATTGTCACCTCAAACTAACCTCTATCTCTTCCATTCGCATAAGCAAACCATTAGTTACCCTTAACCAACCAGTAGATATTAGTTTATTTTGGTCGATAAGAAATTTGATAAATTATCTAAATAATCATAAAAATGTTCACATCACTTTTAACTGGGAGATATTTTCATTGATTTTGGTTCCAAATACTGTGAGTGATTTCACTTTATAAACCATAACCCAGTACTCAGGTTGGGGGGGATGAGGGGGAATGGCATCCCCCTTCTTAAAAAAAAATCTTAAAAATCATTCCCCTTCGTAAATGACCATCTCCCCATACCATCCCCTTTGACATTGTATTACTGAATGTTTAAAATTCCTACTATATATTAACTCTAACGGCAATAACATCTTTGGCAGGCTTTGGGCTTACAAGTACCCTGAGAAAAATAAATAAAATCAACAAAGTGGCCTACCATGACTATGAAGCTGATTCCAGTGGGAAAATTGTCCTCTTCATTTGTCCCTAACTATGTAGGGGCAGTGATAGCCATGCCAGTCCAGGGACAGACTGCAGTTCTACTGTAAGGTGCCTTGGTCAAGATCAATATCTGGCTAACCTTACATGTAACAACCATAGCATGCATAGTGCTTTAGGTTAATATACTATATTTATTAGGCTATGTATGCTTACAAAAAAAAAAAAAAAATCACCCTCCTTTTTTTTATACATCTACTGCTGCCCTAACCCAATGCAAACCAAACCAACAATGAGTAACCTCATACTGTTATATATTCCTAACTGGCAGATAAGACTATCTGACAGGAGTCGGCCCTCGCATTTTCCTCATCTCCTGGTGGCTGGTTTTACTCATTGGTTTTAAAGGAGATGCAAAAATGAAGCCTAGGCGTAAGTTTAACTAAAGAAACTCATTGCTCTCCTACATCTATGCGCTGTGTGACTTCATTCAGATAACACCGTTTAAACTCACCTCCAGTCCCTCCTCCACCATCGTAGATAAACCTTCATCATCATTCCTCCTGGACTCTTACTGTGTTCCCTGTTCTCATCTTAACCGGTCCGGCAGAACACCGCCATTTTGAGCCTGGTTCTGCCAGAGGTTTCTTCCCAATGGGGAGTTTTTCCTCTCCACTGTCCCTTCATGCTTGCTCCTCATGGACAGGTTCTCTCAACCTGTGTTATCCAACTGGACTTCCATCTTCCAGGTCCCTGAGTGAAGCTCTAGTATCAGCTCACACAGTCCACTAGATCTACCCATAAAGCTCAGCATACCGTCTCTCTAACCAGCAGTCTACAGACTGACCAACTTCATCTATATCCACTCCACCACCATTTTGAGGCCTGGGGGGGAAATAGCCCTATTCTTTGCTCCTGTTCATGCATATCCATCAAAATTAAGTGCTATGTTTCCTGCTGAGGTCTGAGCACCAAAGACAAGTAATTGTATCAATAAATTTGTCCTAATTGTCTATCACAACAGAATCAGAAAAGGGATCAAATAACTAGACTAATATTTATGTGTTGATGATGAAATGTAAATAAAGTACCACGAGGAAGCCAATATGAATAAACAAGAAACATGATAGAAAAGTCCTTAACTAGAGATTTTGCCTAGAAACCTTTTCACTATATTAGGTTTATAAATCAGGTATCATTAGTTATTCACTTAATATTTCAACAAGAAAGCTTGAAATAACTTTTACTTCTAGAAAATAATACATTTTGTGGGTAGATGTTTATCTATTACTGCAAGAAGTGTTATAAAGGCATAAAATGCAAATACTCTTGCAAACATGATTATTCCAAACTAATTAAAGTAGAGCCCTTTTGATCGAGTGTATATATATCTACAAGTGTCACATAAAAGATAAGGCCGAAAGTTGCATTTTCATCTCAGGATTAGCTTGTGATGCCACAGTAAGTAGAGATATAGGCTTAAACTTTCTGAATGCTACTCACTGGGCTGGCCAGGGCAGCTGAGGGCTCTTTCTAGTTCCTCCATAGCTCCTTTCTTCTTCTTTAGTTTCTTCACCAGAGAATCCACAGCTTTTTCTGCCCACTTTTCCTCCTCATCCCCCTGTTTCCAGCCGAGCAGACGCTTAACTGCAGGGCTGGTGAAGGAGAACAGGGATGTAATAGAAGAGGAAGAGTTCATTTTGATGTGAATAAATGGTTGGCAGAATGGGCTGAGATGAGGTCCAGTTAGCGATGTAATCGTTCCCTTGAGGCACAGGAGTGAAAAGGGAAATAACTTGCAGCCAGGATACAGAAGAGAAAAGGGGAGGATGAAAGAGGTGGTGTGATGAGTAAACAGAGACTTTTTTTTCCTTTTATTATTTTGCTGTAACTTCCAAGCAGCTGCGGGGAAGAAGCTGGACCTCCGCCAGCACAGTGTAAACCGTAAATCCCTTCTCTGTGTTGGCACAGATGGGATCCGGCAGCTTTGGATTCAGTCTCCTGCCGGGATGGTTTTTCCTCACTCAGCCGGACATCCACCTCAGGTTTCCATCATCTAGGAAGAAACATGAAAGACAGTGTTAAGCTGCAGTTTTTGTTAAGATAGATGAATGGGAGCAATCTTTGTAAAGATAGAAAACAAGTGATGCAATTTGTTACATATTGTGTTTTTTGTTACTTTCCATAACTTTATAAATGCCAACATTTATGTCTTTTACTAACACCATAATAAATATGAAATAGTCTGTAACAGCAGAGAAATGATTCCTGCATCTAAAATATATTGTTTGTGTTTAGCACCTCTGAGTTTACACTATGGAACCACCTGTTGTTGAATTTATAGCTGCAAGTATTTTTAGACATTCATCCAAACTCCTCATCTGGAGACTAATTTGTTTTCTCATTCTCCATCACTGCAACGCTCCAGTTCAGTCAGACTGGATGGAATAATATGTCAGCATCGATTTTCACCTCTTGCAACAAGAGCTCAACAGAAATTTAACTAGAGAGGAAAGCTGTGGTTGGACTGAGCCAAAAGTAAATGAATATGGTGGCTTGAATTCCTTGATACGGAGAGGTATGTTCTGACAAGGTTTTTTTTGTTTTCCCTCCACGCATACAGCATTATTTTGATCTCCAGAGCATCACCTATAACATGTTTGCTGTCTTCCTTTCTTGTTTGCATCAAACTGGAAACGGGGCTTCTTATTTCAAACTTTGAATTTGGTTTTCTCCTTGCCACCCCCGTTTAAAGGTCAAAGTTGTGTAAGTCAGAAATATTGTATATCCCAGCTGAGTTAAGGATGTATGCAGCTCCTCCATAGTTACCATGAGCCTCATAGCTGATTCTCTAGTCAGAGCTCCCAGCTTCTTCTATAACTGTTTAGGTCAAAGGTCTGCAACCTTTACAAACCAGAGTCATTTTTAGATTCCGTCCAGCCAATAAAACTCATTTAGGGCCACAAATATTTTGTGACCTTTTTTAAAGAAGTAGATAACTTATATTTAATAGATATCTACCAAAGATTCACTTTTTAAAATAATTTTCAGGTTTTAAAATAAAGAAAAATAAACTTTAATAAGATGATTTAATACATTTTTAAAGGTTTGCTGAAATTCTGGTTAAATTGTGAGGGAAAAAAAACATTTAGCCAATTAAAAAAGATTTTAAAAGATACATATTTATGTTATTTATAGATTTAATTTAACAGAGAGAATGAAAACCAGCACACTAACCAGAATTTGCTGGTGTATCTACTTTTCCATAGATTGACTGACTCGTCATCATTGTTAACCAAAGTGATGAAGAGCCATTATCATGTGTCAATAGAGCCACATGTCAGAATCCGTATCAGAATCAGATTTAGGTGGGTTTGCTTTTACAAGGAATTTGAGTTGGTGTTGATGGTGCAGAAAAATGAAATATATATATAAATATGTATATATATATATACAGAATACAGAACCTATAGCTAAATACAATATAAAACATATACTATATACAATTAAAAGTAAATACTATATACACAGAAGGCTGTGTGTTAATGTAATGCAGGAGGTCTGGAGATGCTACGTTGATGTAGCTTCTAGGTCCTGAATGGGGGAGGGAGAGAGGCAGTGTCAGTGTCTGGCTCTCTGAGCCTTGTTGATAAGATTGGTAGCGGATGGGAAGAAACTGTTCTTGTGGCGTGAGGTTTTGGTCCTGATGGACCGCAGCCTCCTGCCAGAGGAAGGTGACTGAAGTAGTTTGTGGCTGGGGTATGAGACTCCAAAGCCAGAGGTGGCAGACCCCTGGTTTTCTTTGGAAATTTGTAGATGTGCTATACACTTTAGGAAGATTGATTGAACAGTTCTCTTAGATTTGTTTTATTTAGGAGTACCAAAGTGAAGTGGACCAAGATATATGCTACACTTTTTAGTTTACACTTGTAAAAGAAATTAAAGGACAATGTCACTTCCATCCGCTTCAAGAAGAAAAAATAAAGGTACTAAAGGTCTGCAAGGCACTAAAAAGTAACAGGATATGTAGCTGGATTTCCATAATAAGAAGGCTCAATCAGCAGGTCTACATAGTGCATATCTGTATCATAATGACCTCCTACATCTTACTCAATATTGTTCTCAGAAGGGGAATATTAAATGCTTAACAAAACAGAGAAATCAAAGATGGCCAGGCTTATTTCTAGTTTCACCAACAATGAGGAATGTCCTTTCTGGCCTCTGTTTCTATGATCATGCCACTGACGCCCAGGAGCCTTACTGTCTGGCCAGAACACATCACAGAACAGGAGGGGGGAGAGCGAGACAGGGAGGGAGACAGACACACAGTCCCTGTGTTTGTATCTTTCTGAACCGCCTAAATAGCCACTGAATGTTGCGCCAGTGCCCACAGCGAGGTGCAGAAATACAATAACAGACATTTTGATGTCTGGTCCCTAAAATATTTATACTGGAATTATCTGAGAGACAAGCAGAAGTTTATAACTTCTCTGCTTACTTTTCTCCATTGTTTGGTTCAGACTATCAGCTTTTTCACTTCTCTACTTCAATCCTGATTACAGCCTTTCAGCACATTAAGCATCTTCTGGGGTAAAAAAATAAATTACCTGAGGTGGGATTTGTTTTTAACAAGGTCATTATCAAGGAATGTGTTATCATAACATGGAATATAGATCTACATTTCAGCAGATAGATGTTGGACTCATTATAAAGACACTACATGTGCATATTCAGTTGAAATATGACCAGTTCTGTGGCTGCAGTATGACAGTCAAGCAAACAGCTGAGGATTCTATTTTTTTTTTTAACAATGACAGCAAAAGCGCAGAAGCTTGGTACTGCATCAGTCCGTCTCTGCTTTATGGAGCCTGGCGTCACACAGTCTGCAGCCTCAGATAGGCTAATTACCTAATGCTTTATCACCAGTACACCCCTTCCCAAAAAAGTAAACACGCCAGCTTCCTTTAACTATCACTGCATCCAGTCTGTGTGCCGCTGCAGAATCCGGTTTCTGTTCCTTACCCTCTCCGCGCACACCTTTACTTTACGCATGAGGATCATTGAGAACTAATAATTTAGTTGGTGGAAATCAATAACATCGACTCTAAATATGACCTCTAAATGACGGGATTAAATCTCGAAGTTCTGTAATGTGTTAAAGAAAGGTAATTTCAAAGCAGTCAGTATAAAAGTTGTCAGGGTGAACATATTGCGCAACTTTTAAAACAATAATTTGCGTTTTTTTCTCTGATGCAGTTTCATATCAAATTGTAATATTAAAAGAAAATTAGAACATCAACCCAAATTCCACAAATATATATATATATATATATATATATATATATATATATATATATATATATATATATATATATATATATATATATATATATTTGTTTGTTTTAAATGAATTCTCACCTCTATTGTTGTAACAAGTGCACCGAGAGTTGAGGATGTGGAGCTTTCCGCGTCTGCAGCGCGTCCAGCCGGTGCGCTGAGGTTCAGAAGGTGTGTTTCTGTCTGCAATGTGTGTGTGTTGTAGTGGGCTGTGTCTGGGTGTGTGTGTGTTTACGTTGGAAGAAATTCACTGTTGAAGTGCATCCTGTTTGAGTATTTCAAAATAAAGTATATCAAATTTATATTAAAAAAAAGGCTTATTAAAGACTTTTTGACTGTTTCTATGGGAAATTTGAGACCAGCATTTTTTATTTATGTATCAAGTGAGCTAAAACTCAATCAGTATTTTTTTTAAATAGTCGTTTAAATAAATTTTAAAGGTGAAATGTTAATTTTTTCTAAGGGACAAATCAGTTACAGTCTCATTTGTCAGCATCACCATAAGAAATGTAAGTATTTAAGAAGATTTAGTATTACACTGCAAAAACCTGGTCCAAAAAAGGTAAACATTTCTTATTTATATAAATAAGATGATCTGCCAAAAGAAGAATGATTACGGCCCTTGAAGTAAGATAATTAGATACTATGCTCTTGAAATAAGATAATGGTTGCTTTTCTTTTTTAAACAAATCATATTCCATCTGACAGGTGTCTTACCTATATGCTTGAATGAAAGTATTACTATACTTAAGAAAAAAATTGCAGTTAAATTTCTGCAGCTATTTTCAGAACAGGACCAGTTACATTCCGCTTGTGATGCGACTACTTCAGACACATAGGTCCTGCACAAATTTCACACAAAAATGTTGTCATATTTGTCATAGATTTTACATATTTCTATGAAGCCTTTTCCAGAACTTTGATTTCAGTAGCCTGAATGGGTATTTTTCTTAAGGAGGGCAGTGCTCTCTAATGTTTCCCAACCCTGCTCTCCAGGGACTCCTGCATATTTTGGCGTCTCTTTGCCGGAACAAATCTGACTCTAGATGGCTCTAGATCAAATGTACCTGGGGGACCAAGGTGAAGCCTTTTTTTTTTTTTCATGGGACACAAAACAAAATAGTGAAACAAAAAACACTGCAATAGTTCAACATTTGAAATATTAAGTGAACCAAAAGAGGCATTTGCTGCACTGGAAACCTCAGATATAACAGATAAAAACTGGAAAAGGAAATTGTTTCAAGGAATCTATCATTTATGGTTTCTGTGTCAACATATTTATTTTTCATAAATTTATGAAGCATTGTGTCAGGGGCCATGACAGGCCAGTTTTACGGGGCCACAGGCCTCTATTAGCTCCTGTCTAAAACAACACATGCACCAGACTATATGGATAATTAACAGGCTTCTGCAACACTTGATGGTATAAAGAAAAGAACCATCTATTTTAATTAGGTCTGCTGAAACACTCATAAAACATGCTAGGAAACGCTGCAGTTCAATAAGTTTATTTTGAAGTCCAACAGACAGTGTTTCCGGTGCTGCGTGTCCATATTTTCTTTCATTGACGCAGGTTTTCAGGCGCTCAGTGGCTCCGCTCCTCCGGCAGCCACAGCAGAGCGCCACACAGCCTCGGCGGCGTCAGCCTGGCTGGAACCGCAGCGCCTGTGTGCTGGATCCCTCCGCCTCCCCATCATCATCATCATCATCGTGGAACTTTCACAGGATTTCAGATTCTGTGCGCACCGGGTGCGCGCGTGCCACCTGAGCTCTGAGCAGCCCCCCCTCACCTCCCCCGTTCATTATTCATACCAACCAATCACACCTGTTCCAGGCTAATTTAGCTCGTTTTTAGTACAGCTGGATTGTCATATCTATCTACAGGCTAAAATTTCGTTTCCACAGGCAAATCCTGTAGTAAATGACAACATTATTAATACAAGGCTACTGGAATAGTGATATAAGATCACTAATACATTTGTGAACATTTAAAGAAATATGAGATGAAATGTTAAGATTCCTCTATTTGCAAAATTTATACAAATATAGTATCCTTGAACAATCTGCTCATATGTTGGATGACATAAACACAGCACACCTGTGCTGTAAAGGAAGGATAATATTGGAATTCGTTTTCTACACTCTTGCTCCATTAATTCCTCCACATTGTGACATTTTTATAAGTTAATTGAAGTCTGTATAATCACGCGCTGCTGGAAGTCACGCAGAGGTATTTCCCATTGCGGATGGATACGATGCTTTTATTGGGAGTGCCGTGACCGGTCCAGTTAATGACGCAGACTCTGCTGGCGACACTGAGTCTACAAGTTTGACATTTTCACAGTTTACAGCAACTGCTGCGGGACGTAACAATACTGCCAGCTTTAGGCGAAGAATTTCTGGAGACCCGCTCATAAATATACACGGCTGTATAATGGCCTACCTGTAGTGGAACACAGATACCTAATAAAAAAACAAACAGTGTTTCCAAGGGGTTCAAGTAGAGGAAGCAGAGTTGCATCCCACAGCCAATATGTGTTTTTATTTATTTTTTTTAAATCTTTTTTTTCCTCTCTCTCTCTTTCCCCAAGAGCTGATTTCAGAGACAGGAAGCAAGAACTGTGTGAATGATAATGATTCACCGCCTGTGTCTTGTCTGGTTGTACAAAGGGAAGACAGGGAAGACACAAACAGGAAGCGCTCCCCGGGGCTCCATGGGGCCCACAGACCTAAGGCTAAGGAAAGAAAATACATTATTATTAAGGTTAATCTCATAAAAAACGCAAACACGCTTTTTATTTCATCTACTAAATGTCAACATGTGGATGGTGGAACAAATTAAAAGAGGGGATATAGGCTATTTCATCTACACTATATATGAAAAAAAAAAAAAGTGTTACTTTTGTGGATGAAATTTTGATTTCCAAAGGGGGGTGGGACAAGTATTTTTTAATATAAGTATCTTCAGCGTGTTTGACCATCCAATCACAGACCTGATTCAGTGGTGCATCAGATGCTTGTAAAGTGAGCTTCACAGGAGTGACAGTGGTGACAGCAGATCACACAAGAAAAGACGGAGGGCCAATCAGGAGCACGTGGGCGGACTAAACTCTGGGAAGTGGGCTTCAGCTTGGGCTGCGGTTTCCCACTTTGTTCCCACTTTGTCACTAAAATAAAGAATGCAACTGCTTTTGGCATTTACTCAATCATATTTACTTACTTTAACACAATTGTTTTTAATTCTACTACCCTGTTAACATGAAAAAATTGTGTTAAAGTAACTAAATATCATTAAGTGAATGCCAAAAAAAGGGTTGCATTATTTTTTTCAGTGTAGTGGTGCACGGATGTCTGTGTACTGAAGCGTAAGATTGTTTTTGGACAGTAAAACTTGCAGGGGACTAAACAGATGTTTGAAAAAGTGCAGGGGACATAACACACTGTTATTTACTGTGTAGAATTCAGTTCTTTTTTATGTAAAAAAAAAAAGTACCTCAGAAACCTATAGCTAAAACAAGTGTAATATGTCATTTACTAAGCTGGTGACTTTAAATTTAGCATTTCGAAGGACACACCCTAATATGATTTAGTCCAGATTATAACATGGGCCACACAATTATCCTGATTTCTTCCCCATCTAAATAGCCTTTGTCTGAATACTTTGAAATCATCGTCTTGCTGCATAACCTAAACAGAAATTACACCGTAACTCTGGTTTTGTTTAATTCCTAAGTAGAATTCACAGATGGCCCCTGGACCCCGCTTCCATTTTTGACAGGATGAGGTTTTACTTTAGAGATGATTTGTAAGTTTTAGACTAAATCAAACAGGACACACACCAAAAGTTTCATCCTTTTTCATGACAGTCCACAGGTTTTTCCAAAAATATTTGTGGACCATCAAGACAGTTTTATGTAATTGTAAATGTGAGATGGGGGTAAATGTTCGACATTTCTATATCTGAAAAAAGGGGTGCTTTAAAAGTTGGTTTTGTTTTGTAATGAATAAGATATTTAAACAGGATTTTGTGTTTCTCAGGTTCATATATGTGCTTATACTCTTAATCATTTTATGATTGAAAAGTGATAAAATAATTTTGCAAACGAAAAATTTATTTCATTGGAAAGTTTGAATGTAAGATCAATCTTAAAATTGGTTTTAATACAGAACATCAGACTTCACTTAATGCAAAGTACATGCATCAAATACATGTCAAGAGGCCTGAATGTTGAGATGTTCAGCCAGTGGTTCTGCTCAGGAAACCAAGGTTCCATATAAGAACCCTTCAGCTCATCTGCATGGTTGCATCTGGTGTCTCCATCTTCCTCTTTCGTTTCCTTTACTCCTTTGACTCTTCGAGCTTTAGGCCAGACTGGTTTGCTTGTCAACGAAGTACAGCAACACCAATACTTCTCACAAGTCAGGCAAACCCAACTGATACTCAAAAACAAAAACTAGCATCTCCATAAAGATTCTCAGCAAAAAAAAAAAAAAATAGCAAGGAGTCGCTCTAAATTTCCAGTACACATCTGCACTGACTTTTGATTTGATTAAACAGGATGAACAGCAGGAGATGACTTGAATCCCCACATCATCACCGAATCCTCCTACTGCCTCTTCACTCTTCCCTGCAACTTTTAGAAAAAGTTTCTGTTCTTTTTCCAAATAGAAAAGATAAATATCTTAACATTATTTGGTTTAAAAGTGCATTTCATATCTTTATGGGTGTTTGGGGACTCTTGAAGCTCTGACTCGTGTCCATGTTGCACGAATCTTCACCATGCTCATAAACAGGCTTTGCTGCACAATCGTTTACAGGACTAAGTCAGCCCCTTTTCCTTCAGTACTTTCGATTAACGAGCCTGAATAAAACTCACTGAACAGCCAGCTTTTTTTTAGCTTTCAATATCTATACCAAAGATATTCTAATTTTCTAAAATTTGAGTTTCTAGTTTTTATTATTAGCCCCAACTCATCCAAATCAAAAAAAAAAAAAAAATGCCTTAAAAAAAGTAGTCTGATAAGTGCATACATTACTTTTTGGTCTTAGTATTTATCTAGCAATGGTTCCTTTTTCTTAGTGCCATCTTCTAGCTTTGTTATCAAAATACTTAAACTTTCTAAATGTAAAAAAAAAAACAATATCTGTCCAGTTACGCAGTGAAGATGTAATGCGGATGGTGAAATCAGTCTCTGCATTGATAATTTTTTTTTATTCTGTTTTAAGTCATTCAGCGCATTTATTCCTTCTCTTAACAATCACACAGAATCCTCACATGTTGATCTCAGACCTCAGTACATGATCAGTCAGACATTCCTTTTGCTGTGGCAACAGAAATGCATGTGTAACAGTGGCCACAAAAAGCCAGCATCCACATAGAAAGGCAGAACCATCAGGAACCAACAGCTGGGTCATTACCGTCTTTCCAATATTCATTGGAAAGACAACTGATTTTAGGGATTTACTATTTCTTCCTGATGATTATGGTGAAGCACAGACACAGAATGCTCCTTTCTTTGCTGTAAGGCTCCATGGTCCTATAAAAGTTCGTCTCTATGACACGACGACTTGTCCGACTGGCTAATCAGTCTTATGTGGCGATTGCAGCTTCCAGGCTCCAGTGATGTAGCGCAGGCGGATGAAAATCAGATCCCGACCCATCTGAAGCCAGCTCCAAAATGGGACCAGTTTGGACCCTGAAAGAACAAAGCCATTTATTTTTAACTGAAACCATTTTTAATTCAAACTGTAAACTCTGGTGGTTTGCAGGCTGACAACAAAAGCAAAGACAATTTTAATTTCTCCTGTTGCTAAAAGTTGAAGACAAGTCGAACTATTCCATTACAAACAAACCTTCTATCTCAGTCCAGTTGACTGCCACTTCCGCTATGGGGATTTTAAAACACTGGGCAATGTAGAGGAGCTCCACATCAAAAGCCCTAAGAAAGGAAAAAAAAAAAGATTAGTATAGAGGAGGGGTTCCTCATTTAATTCAGGTTTTACAACAGCAACATAAAATAAAAAAGGGTAAAAATGGTGTTAACAGTTCTGGTGAACACAGAAAGTAAGTGCTTGTTTTTATGCTTGATTTATTAGGATTTTAACGTAGATGTCAGCTGTTGTCTACTAGAGTTCAAAATGGACACAAGAAATGGTGCATACTATTTTTGATATTACAGAAAACACTGAGTTAGGTACATATTTCTTAAAACAAGAGTTACAAAGTTACCCATTTAGATTTCCTTATAAATAAATGTTTAAAAGCCTCCCTTAGACCACCATGCTCATATTTGCTTTACTGATATTACAAGATACATTTGAAACATTTTTAAAAAAGTTCAACAAAGGATAGACCAACAGTGCCTTGCAGCACTATTATAAGCACTGGGCTGGAACTTTTTATTTATTTACATTTCAACAACAAACTTAATGCTTTTTATTTTGATTTTATGTAGCAGAACAAAATAAATCACCTCTTAGCTCTGAACTGCAAAGAAAATTATACACTCTTCTAAAACATTTACAAGCAAAAAGAGACCATAGACATAGCAGACAGGTCAGAGAGAAATTTGTGTAAACGTTTAAAGAAATTTTGTTTATAAAACAATATCCAGAGTTTTCAACAAGCTATAAAGCACTGTCTAGTTCATTACCAGAAATATGGGAATAGCAAACCTGCCAAAACATAACTGCCAACCTAAACAGACCACTTGAGTAAACAAGATTAATCAGAGAGGCAGCCAAAAGGCCAGTATTCGACTCTGCTCAGTTATCAAGATCTGTTGACAAGGCACCTATTAGCAGATATCACATAAACCTGGACTCATTTTGGAATGGAAATAAGAAAGTCCTCATTTGGGAAAAGAAATACAAGCAAATGCATTTCTTCCACTGTGAAACATGGCAATGGTAGCACCGTGCTGTAGCTAAGCTACTTAGCTTAGAAATGCCTTGTAAAAACAGCATTTCTAAGCTAAGAAACAGAACCATTAGGGAAACTTTATCATACGATTTGCAGATCCTTACCATCGCTCTACATGGAGAGAGGAGAAAGTCTTGAGAGCAGCCTCTCGTGTGAAAAGCTTAAAGCCACACTGTGTGTCTTTGATTCCCCTCACACAGAAGAACCAAACCAGGAAGTGGAAGCCATACATGAGGAATGTACGAAACACGGATCGCTGAGGAGGAAAACATTTGGTTAGTCAATGCTTAGAATAGACACCAGTTTTTAAAGCTTTATGAAAAAAAAAATATTACCTGAGCAACAGAGTCTTTTTCTAGATGAGCTCTGGAACCGCAGGAAATGGCCAAGTTCTCCTGGAGAAAAAAAAATATATATATTTTAGGGTATAACATTTACTTTTCTTTCATTGCAAAAATTTATTTCTTTAAAAACTTTATATCAAGAGCAGCATTGATTCAGGATTTGGAAAAGCCCTCTTAAAATGTTCATCTGGCCACATTTCTGGTACTTATTTTATGTAACCTTTGTTTAAGCCAAATAAGTCTAAACTAATGACCATTATATTCTATTTGATTTGGTTACATTGTGAAAAAATTTCTGTGCTCCTTTTCAAAGGTTTACTGTATCTAGCTGCTTTTGAATAATCTCTCTAGCTCTCCCGCCGTTACAGTAAATGTTTCATATTTAAGGAGCCGAGCTGACATCACTGTGTGTGACGGGACATTACCTGGAACGACAAACTGTTATAAACAAAGATAAATAGATGACCAAATTTACGTCTTTGGAATGTTCTGTTGACTAATAGGGTAGCTTTAACTGAATTTTTTAATTCAGTAACATCGACCACAGTAGAGGATTGTTATTGACGCAGCTTGTCGAGCTGAAAGTCGACTGATGCAGGTAAACATTCACTTTCTTTATCACTTGAAACAGCAAACCTTCCTAAATCTGATCAAGAGGCTCTTTAAGACTATCGGGCTCTCACAAAACCGATAATGTTACAATTTGTTTGATTTACAAATATATGATCACTTGGGATACATATATAATTTGGGCAGAAAAGAGGTGATTCTAATAGAACTGTTGGCTAAAAACCTGAAATTCAGTATTTGATCCAATAAAGCAGTATTTCCCAACCTCTTTTGAATTGTGTACCTTTTGGGCATTTTTTCTAAGGCAAAGGTATTTATGATTGTCAAAACTTCAAAGGTACAATAACTGATTCTAAAATTAAAACTAATTTGCTTAATCTTTTAACTTGAGCATTTCATTCTTCAATATTCAATATTCATCCATCTTGAATAAAAATCACATAAATATGTTGCCTGGAAGCTATTAAGGAATCAAAAAATACAGAAAAATTAAATAAAAGTATAAACCTATATTTACAGAATAAAACTGGAGCTCTTGGGAACAAAATACATAACAAAAACTAGTCAGATTATTAGTTTAACTTTGTTTTCATCAAGACACCTGAGCTGCTTTGATGAGCTCCAATACCTCAGATGTGTGAAAACAGCTGATCCCAGACTGTTCTCTACATCCAGTCTGTTCCTCTGCTTGGTTTGGGTGTGTGTTAAAGCAAAACGTGAACTCAAATATAGAGTAAAGAAAAAGTTACGTTTTGGTTGATAAAAGCTTGTTTAATGTTTTAGTTGGGTTCTCACAAAGCAAAACAGATCCCAGCCCTATTTTATTACCTAAGAAATAAAATATTTTTTATGTACTCCTTGCGATGCACTCATGGACCAGTAGGGGTATGTGTACCCCTGGTTGGGAAACACTGCACTAAAGGATGATGAATCCTCTCCTATCGGCTCCATGCTGTTTTACATATTTTAGTTCCAAGGAAAATTTGTTTCAGGGACGAATCATCAGTTTGAACAGATATTTTTGCAGTTGAACCTATTTTGTCCTTTACTTGTCCTTAGGAGAATAAAAAAAAAACTGGACAAGAGAATTAATCATCTTAAAGGAAATTTTGGCTTTCTCGTTGCAAGATATAATGTAACAATGGTACTTTCAACTTTTAAGTGTACATTTATATGAGACAGCAAAGAAAAAGTAAAACAAAAGGTCTAACTGGTCCAGCGTTGACTTCTTTAAGCCCAGCCTCCACTTTTTCAATGTCTGCAAACTTTGTGGCTCCATCAGCATCTGCCATCAATATGAGTTTCCCTCTGGAGCTCAAAGTTCCCTTTCAAAGCAAAAGAGACAGAAATATGAGTGATAACCCAAAATTCAGCCATCTAATTTACTTCAGAAAAAAAAAAATCCTCCTGCAATCCACAGCCTCACCATTCGTACAGCTCCTCCTTTCCCCCTGTTCTCCACGAGCGTCAGGACCCTCACTTTATCTGCACTGTATTTGTTGGTGTACTGCAAAGCAACCTGGCAAAATATTACAAAAAATAAATAATCTGTTAGCTGTATTGCTGAAAAAATGGAGTAGAGGACACACACACACATATGTATATAAAAGATTAAAACCATTACCTCGGTGGTTTTGTCTTTGCTTCCATCATCAACAACAATGACCTCATAGGTGAAAGAAGAGTTTTGTTTCTGCAGGTTGATAATGAGAAGGGTTTCTATCACACAGATGCTTTAAATGGATCAATGCTTCCACCTAGTGGTAGCTGTTGGAAATAAGTTCCTGAAATGAGCTTCTAGATGATTATTACCCACAGATGAGAAAGAATTTACAAATTGTTCAGATTCTTATATGATCTTTAAAAATATTGTTTGATTAAGACCCTTGCTGTCTCTGAATCAACATAAAATGTGCAGTAGTACAACAAAGGCTTAAACGGGTAAGATGGATGCTGTAATAATTTTTAAAAAATTATGTACAGACCGAAATATACAGTGAAAAATTGATGTAGCAACAAAAAGGTAAAAATAAGATTGAACTATACATCAAAAAGTACAATAAAACGTTTCATCTGATTACATCTACCAAGCTTAGTACTCACTTGTCTGTTTTCCAAGTACTGCATTGCTTCATCAAGCATCACAGGCACTGAGATAAAAAAACAAACAAACATGGAAGTCCATTCACTTTCTGTGGGTTCATCGTGACATCAGATATCAGAGGCAATATTTGACTCTTTGATTGGTGTTTGTTATTTTAGAGTAAGTCTAATTATTTAAAAGTTATTAAAATCTGCAAGTTATTTTCAAAGAAAACTGGAAGTTAATCAACCCCTAGAGTCTGTTGTCCCAAATTCTCTATTACTACACTAAAGAAAATCCTTGCAGAAAACCAGTGGATACTTACTTCGGAGTTCCTCATTGTAAGCGGGTACCACTACAGTAAGCTCTCTGGAAAATGGGTCATGCAGGCTTGGGAAGGGTTTCCTCTCTCCTGTGGCTGTGATAAAGTACTTTTCATCCTCATGCCGTGTCAGGTTCACCATCTCTGCAGTCAGATGTGCGACCAAAAGAACCTAAAAGGGGATTTTAATGACAGTTAATCTCATCCCTTTGCTTTACTGCTTAGATTTTCAATGTCCCTTCTCTCTAACTCTTAGGTAAGTGTAAAGAACTGAAAGCACCAATTATTCAATGTTTAAGCTCTATGTTTATTTTGTACCAAATTAAATATTATTGTTAGAAAGATATCAGAGACACCAGAAACAAGTGGTTCACCATACACTTGCCAGACATTACTGGGTTTAGTTTTTAAGGTTGTAGTTGGTCAAAAACTGAAACCACAAAGCTTTGATTGTAATAGGATGTATTGACAAAATGGAGGAAAATGAGCACGTATGACTAAATTCTCCAGGGATCTAAACTTGATTAAAGCTAATCAAAAATTAGGAAACAGATTTGTTGAAATGCTTGGATCAAATCTATAGCTGTGCCCAAAAGTTAAGTAATGGATTAATGTTTATTTTTACACAGTTAACTGCATCGATGATTATGTAATACATCAAGTTAATGAAAACATATTTGGTTCTAAATCGGATTACGGTTAGGGGGCTTTTCAGGACATGGACCCATTTGTTTGTTTTATATTTTATTTCTAAGCACCTTGGTTATCACTTTGCATTTAGACATTGATAGGACATGTGGTGGTATTCACATTGTCATTACCAAGCAGTCCTTTTGGTCACAGATATCTCCAACAGTCCAAAACATGCTTCAGTAAGTACAGACCAACACTCAAACCTGCCTGCTGCCATTTCTAAGCAAGCTCTGCACTGGTGGCAATATTATTCTGAAGCTGGATTCTAACCATTGGATGGGCTTCACTGGAATTTCTGAAGCTATAACTTACAAACCAGCTGCACACAGTTTTTATTATTATTATTATTATTATTATTATTATTATTATTATTATTATTATTATTATTATGATTATTATTCATGCATTGTTCTTGGCGATTCAATAAATGATTTGGCCATGATGCAAATTGTAAATTATAGCACCTATTTCCAGGTATAACCCTGGCTAATGAAGCAAAGATAGTTCCTACCATAACACAGTTTTAGAGAGTCTATTTAGCTTTTCCAACTCATTTAGAAAAACAAATTTATATCAGCTTTCGCCTGAACCAACTATATGAATATTGCAAGTATACTAAGAGTGATGCAACACGAGGTAAAGTTTTTCCACCCAAGTACAGTATTTATTTTAGTTTCTATTTATTTCCTATTTCATAGCCACTTAAGACTCAATGCATTTATCAAGATAAAAGCTTCAGCAAGACTCAGTCTCAAAACATAGCATCCATTCAAGGTAGAAAAACTGTACGATGCGTTTGGCCTGCACTTGGTTTCACGCTTTAATCCCTTTCTTAACATAATGAAAAATATCACTGTCATATATTACTCACCACAATAAAACCAAGAGCTGCCAAGGCAAAAAGAGCTTGAACTATGTCGCAGAGGATATCCATTTTCCTCAAAACTGCCTTTGACAGATCTCCTGCCCAGCTGGCTAGCAGCAAGGCTAGCTTAATTTTCTTAATGTTTTAATTCAAATCTTTCAGCCGGTGCTCCAGTTTTAAGCTATATACACGAACATACAAGTTTGCGATATCCCGTTCCCGTAGTAAGTGATAAATAACCCGTCATATATCCATTGTTCCAATCACAACTGTACACAGCAGCGACGCGGAAGTCAGAGTCATTTCTCGACACATCATCAGTTTGATGCAAGAAGTCACCGCGGAGCGCACGCTGTTGCCACCTGTTGGTCGGAGGTTGGAACGACGGCAAGAAATTATCATTGGGTAGAGTGCTGTTTCAAAAGGTTGTCTTATCAGACATTGACGTTTTATAAAAAGGAAAGATACACGTTAACAAGAAATGCAGAGATCGAAGGAGCTTGTTGATACGGAAGAGGATTAGGTCCACTGAAGAAATTAAAAAAGTTAACTGAGATTAAATTCTGAGTTTGGAGATTAAAGTCAGAATTCTGAGAAAAAAAGTCAGAATTCTGAAATCAAATTCAGTATTCTAAGATTTAAGTCAAAATTCAGAGATTCAATTCAGAATTCTGATAAAAAAAAAGTCAGAATTCTGAGATAAACGTCAATATTCTGAGATTAAAGTCAGAATTCTGACTTTTTCCCCCATCTTAAACTGAAATAATATTTAAAAATCACATCCTAATCCTCTTCTGTATGTTGATAGCTACACAAAGAGTGTTGTTTATGTACAACTGTTACAATAAACATAAGAAAATATAGTGTTTTCCATTCTTTCGAGATATTTTTAAACCATGTTGACAAAAACGTGCAAACAAGAAAAGCACGCAAACAAAGCTGTGAGATGCATAAAAAAAAAAAAAAAAAAAGGTTTGTTAATTTCCTCCTCCCGGCCACCGTAGTACAAACCCACGTGGTTAAACAAAACATCATGGCGGCCGGCTTCAAGTAAGATTTTTTAAAGTCTGCCTTTTATCTACAGAAACACACCTTATATGTTTACTTATTGTTGCCAGTAAACACTGTAAACTAAAGCGACACATTAAATGTGACATTTGAGCAGTATCTGTGTAATTATAGAACATGCCGTGCTTGTGTCGTTTTTTTAATTGCCTTTCCAGTTCTGTTCATTAATATATATTAAAAGTTTAGCGCACGTGTTTAATGGTAAAGTTGTGTTTTTTCATCTAATCCGTAGGACTGCAGAGCCTCTGGAGTATCACAGAAGCTTTCTGGTTTGCAAACATATTCCGAGTTTATTCCTTAATCATAACTGATCTTCTCATACAATTTACCTTTATATATTTATATTATAATAACATCCGCGCTAGTTAATTTGGGATTGTTTCTTTTCCAGAAAGAAAACTGTCGACCTGATGGGCGGGAGTTGTTTGAGTTTAGGACCACAACACTGAACATTGGTGAGCCAGTTGCTGACTTTCAAACACTCATGATGATTTACTCAGGGGATAAATTTGGAGACAATTTATATTTTTTTCTTTTATTTTTAGGGTCCATATCCACAGCAGATGGTTCAGCCCTGGTGAAGCTGGGAAACACAACCATTATTTGCGGCATCAAAGCGGTATTGGAAACAGAAAATAAACTTTTTAATTATCTCTAATCTTCTTGACAGGTCCCTTTGCACTTAGGGGGCCAGTGTTTTCTAATAGGACACAAAAGACAAGATTAACAAACACACACAAAAAAAAAAACAAACAGGAGTACATTGTTTAGTCTAACAAGTGAGCCTAAAAGCCAAGGTTGCAGACCTCTTATCTGAGATGAAAACCAATCACATTTCAATAGGCTTTAATGAGCTTAATGCTAACCGTAATTTCTATGCAATTGTTTAAATAAATTGTAAAAAAATTAAAAAATTTTGTCATAAAATGTATCAGTTATGGTCTCTTCTTTCAGCACATATCTTCCTATTAAATAATTAAACTGCAAAACCTGACCTAAATTATATTTTCTTAAAATATTGTATATGCCCATAATGTGAGCAGATAATTAAGTTTTTAATCCCCTAAAAGCAAGGTAATAAGATGTTATGCACCTGAGATAATAGTTAATTTTTCTTTTTTTTATAAATTGTTCAATCTAAACCCCCTATTGTAATTAAGGGGAATAACTGACTTTATTTATGTTTCAGTTTTTTGCACTGTTTTCAGTACAGAGGCATCAGCAGCAATGGCCCCTGTTGACCCCCATCTAGAGCAGCCACTGGCCATTTTGTTTTTTGGGCCTCTAAATCTTGAGCCATTAGGGGAAACTGTCATTATTTATCCTATATTTGACCCCACTAATGTGTTATAATACATATCTTAACTTTCCTGTATAATCTATATACAGGTTTTCATAATTATTCTATTGCCTCTGACAATTAATTTATATATACATAATCTCTGTGCACATGTAAATAAATATATCCTGTATAGGCGCAAACTACATTTCATTGCTTTGTACTTTTGACAGTGTAATGACAATAAAGTTTAATTCTATTCTAAACTGGGTAGGAGTTTGGGGGAATTATTGTAAGGTAAAATTATTGTTGCTAAATATTTACTCAGGAACTTGCTTTATTAATGTTCAAAATAATAATAAAAAAAAAACATTTGAAAATCAATTCAATGTGTGGCAACAGTAATATGACCTGAACCCTGATCATTTAAAAAGTGTGCACAGCCTTAACACCACATGTGCACTTCTGAAAAGGGTTTCCAACTGTCCCCTTAAAAAAAGGAACTATCCCATTTTTAGGAACCTAAATAAATTTATTAAATTTAGGTTTGAATCAATAAAACAAAATTATCTTTAATGTGCCTCTTGTGGTATTAACCTAAACTTTCACAAATGGTAGGTTTTTGTCTCAGTATATATTTTTTAGAAAAGTTAGTCATACCCTTCAGTACAAACCCGTCCTTTACCACCCAGTTATTTTTACTAATAAAGTAAATTTATCAATTAGTAAATTTGAACACTTTTTCAACTTAATGTTGAACTGTTTTCTATCTAGAGGCAGCTTTTTCTTTTGCCCCTCAGCCAATATGTCTTTCTTTCTGAAATGTACAGTTTTACATTATATTTTAATAGGAACAAAAACATTTGTTCTTGTGCAGGAGCTGGCTAACCCTACAACAGACGCCCCTGATAAAGGTTACATTGGCAAGTACTCCTTAGGATTGTGACCTCTAGCTATCTACTATTACTTTCAATGCATTTGATGATCCTTACAGGATCCTTAATTGCTGCAACTTGTCTGTCCTTTAGTACCCAACGTGGACCTGCCGCCTCTGTGTTCTTCCCGTTTTCGTCCCGGTCCACCAGGAGAACAGGCCCAAGCTGCCAGCCAGTTTATTGCTGATGTTATTGAAAGGTGTGTCCACTGTGCTTCCCAACAGCTGCACATGTTCATTGTCTTCACGCCAGCCTGTGTTTTATAAATCTGTGTTGGGAATTTTGCAGTTCTGACCTGATTAAAACAGAAGACTTGTGCATCGAAAGAGGAAAGGTAATTTCAGAGACTTATGCACATCTGTGAAAATTGTGGTTATGTGATGATTTTGAATGTTTTTTTTTTTTTTTTTTAAGCTCTGTTGGGTGCTCTACTGTGACATTATGTGCCTGGACTATGATGGGAACATTCTGGATGCTTGTATCATCGCCCTGCTTGCTGCCTTAAAGAACAGTATGTAATGTTTTAGTCAACTTCACTGGAAAAAACTAAAGTAGAACTGAAAATTAGATGCACCAGTTAGACCATAATCGAGGTTTGTAGTCTGCAGATCACATCCCCAAAGTCAGATGTTTGTCCTTATTGATATGCATACAAAAACACAGACATCAACCAACACAATGTACTTTGAAGAAATTTCAGTTTTCTTACAAATCAAATATACACGCCTTGATGCATAAATGGAATTAACATGCATCTTGTGTGTAACATGTATGTCTGCAAGTGTTTTTATGTTATGGTAATGTGACATTTTTTCAAAATCAGTTTGTTAAATCATTTTAGGTTTTAACTAAACCTTTCTGTGCTCATGTTAACAGCACAGCTTCCAGAAGTTGCAGTAAACAAAGAGACATGTTTACCCGAGGTGGATTTTGAAAAGCGACAGAGGCTTCGCATTCACAGACATCCTGTCGGTGCCTCTTTTTGTGTTTTCGATGAGTAAGTTTGTCTTCTCTAAAGTTTTAGATTTTTTTTGTACCAATCAGGAGCCTGTTTGAAAATTTAAAAATGCCTAATCTGTGTGATAACATAAAAATGCCCTTAATGTAAAAAATCAACACGGCCAAATTGATTCCAGTAAAAAAAATAAACAGTTCTGTTGTTTCTAGAATAATTTACAATTAAGCAAGAACATCTCACCTAAAAAAAGTGACTTCTCATGTCTTTATATAGTGGAGTATGTTTTACCATTTTCCTTTTGCTCTTCAAAGAGTAACACAAGTATAAAAATAGAAAATATACCAGCTATTTCTTTGTGCTGTACCTTTTAAATACAGTATATATAAAACCGCTTTAGGGTAATGGGTCATTCTACTTTAATCTTTTTGCTGTGACTGTGTGCGTTTTCCCTTACTGGCAATATTTATAAATACTGGATTTCCTTTAAAGTTAAATAAAAGGGCTGCTGCCCTTTTTCAGCCAGCTGACAGAAGCAAAGAACTGCTCTGTGTTTTCCTACAGCCTATTAATACTTTGGTCACTCAGGCCTATCATTAGCATTTGATTTCAAACTATAGAAATGTTTGGGATAGAAAATTGTAATTTAAAAGAAAAATGCCTGATTTGTATTTGTGCTCATCCTGGTAACGTCTCCTCACAGCTCCATACTGATCGTAGACCCCACAGCTGAGGAGGAGAGTCTGTCGACTGCACATCTTACCGTGGTCACAGATGAGGAGGGCCGACTCTGTTCGGTACACAAACCAGGTGGGATGCAACATGTGGAATTCCCTTTCAAATGCAAGCAGGGATGGGAGCAGACAGGCTGTTCAGTTTAAAACACTGAATTGTTATAAACTGAATGCTCAATTAAAATCTGGTGTCAATATTTTTTAGGTCCAGGAGGATAAATATAATTAGCTTACATGTTAAAAACCTGCCTAATGCAGAAATATTGAACATATTGACACAGATGTGTTTTGTATTCTAAAGCAAACGTTAAAAAAAAAGGAACTCTGGAATGTTTTCACACAACAAAAAAATGATTGTAGGAATGTGGAAGGCACTACACATATTTTGTCTTATAATACTAAAGATGAAATGACATTTGTAAACGTTTTAACCCAACATTTTGTGGCTCAGGTGGAACTCCACTGTCAGGAGAGAAGCTGCAGGAGTGCATCAACCGAGCAACAGCCAGACAACGAGAAATCCACAAACTCATCAACAAGGTTCTAGACAGTGTGAAGACGGCGCAGTAAAAACAGTCGAGACAATGTTGTTTTTTTTATATATCTAAAAGCTGTATTTTCCACTGTCAATATATATTCTTTTTAATAACAATAAAACTGATGACAAAGACTGCTTAGAAAATTATTTCTCAGTGTCCAGAAAGTCCTCGCATACGTTCAGTTGATGTCTTAAAGAATATGCTCATGGCTCCTGGACTTATTAAAAGGTGATACCTTTTCAAAATATGCTATACAAAAAGTACACCGTCTTGCATGTAGATCTTGAGTCCTGGTGCGAGTCCTTTTGCTGGAACCGCTAATTTAGAAAGACTTCCAACAGACTGAGAGGTAGACGGCTTCCCCCAGGCAATAATCCCAAGATCAGATTTGCATTTTCACAAAGTCATTATGGTAACATGGAGGATTTGGTGTCAATATAAGCTCAGCTTAGATCTGTGCTTAAAGGGAAGTATCTATGGAGGGCTTGGGGTTCAACGAAGAAGAGGCAGGAGGATCAGATGGCCTCGTGCATAATCCTCCACAGAATGTGCATTCGGGATCCTCTCAGTCCTCGCAAAAAAATTGACAGAAAAATAATGTAACTGTGGAAGCCCTACTACACCCATCTTCTTCTGGACCATCTCAGGCAAGATTAGGGCTTCCAGTTGTAAAAACCTGATCCTCCACAGTGGACATTTTGGTTTTTCCAAAACCTCTGAGACTCAATACATACAAATGTATCAGCTAGAAAAAGCATAAACAAGTCTTTAGTATGCTGTCTTAAAAGTGAGGCAGACATCACAGCACAGTATGGATGAATCATGTCTTTGTGGGGGAGTTAGTGTGATTTCTGTCTGTTATGACTTGGGGAGGGGCTGTGGCGTGCTCCTCTTCCTCTTACTTCTTGGTTGACTGCCTGTATGTTGCCGTGGTGCTCCCACCTGAGGACCCGCCGCTCCCATAGCCATTTGCTGCTGCTGCTGCATTTGGTGCTGCAAGAATTGCAACTGTTCAATAAAAAAGTAAACAAATCAGAAAAGTTTCACAGGTTTTAAGCTGAATAATAAAGTGAAAGTTGCTTAGCCTACATGTAACCATCTCCAGCATGGGTTAAAATTTTAACTGCCACCGATTTGAAACAGCCTCCCTCAATGAGATGGGGAACCGAATCAGATCTTTGAAACGCTTTGTGCCGCATTAGCATGGGTTAGTACAGCTGACTTAAAGGCTGGTTTAAACAAAGGACAACAGAAGTGTGCAGAGAAATACAGGATAGAGGTTAATGGTTTGCAGAAGGGAGGGAGAGGAAGTGTTGGGGAGTGAGGCAGGATGCAGTCAAGCAGCACCAGTTTTGTCTGGAGATACACATTACTGGCTGTGATCCCAGTAAAGAAAAACATGCAGCTCAGCAACCGTGCTTTCTGCTTAAAGAGTGAAGAAGACCCTTCATGCCCAGTTGCCCACAGCCTGTGATCCCCACCATGATGCCATCAGGAACCTTTCAAAAGTTTGGAATCAACAAATTGACTGAGAATCCCATCCCATTGCTAAATGCTGAGTAAGCATGCCTGCCTCCCAGTCTCACAAACTGTTAGTTGCTGCCATTGGAAGTGCCACAAGCTTTGTTTGTATGGGTTTGTGGGCTCAACAACCCATACAAACACAAACAAAAGAAAGTAGAACTTTAACATAACAATAAATTGAGTTTTTTGGATAATAATTACTAATAATAACAGAGAATAATGTTTAATGTTTTCACCATCTTTTGGACAATACTATAATGTGAGATACATTTTCTTTTTGAAATTTTCTTTAAAAGTAAGGTCTGATAAAACCAAGTTTATAGAGCCTTGAAAAAGTATTCTAACAACATGGGCTTTTTGCACATTTTATCACAACTGAACTTCAATGTGCGAACTTGAGGGGCTTTTGGGGGATTTCGTTTTTCCAATGCTGGAACACTGCAGTTCCAATAGCTCCATCTGCATGTCCACAGGTGCACTTTCCAAGTCAAAAGCAAATGGACAGTAGAACGATCCAAAATGTTATGCTTCAGTAAAGAGAGTGTGAACTCATCACACAAACTGTACACTTGGAAACGCAGCAAAGCTGACTTGGCTTGTCAGTGTTTGGCAAAAAGTGCCATAAATTGCTTCCCGTCTTTCCCATAAAAACAGCTTGTGTGATCCCTGCTCTTGGGGTGTGAACCTCAGTAAGATTATATGGAGCTCAACTTTTAAACAGTCTTTTTTTTTTATCTTCTAACAAATGTTTCTCTTCTGTCAGACTTTTGAGATTTAAATCTGTAGAAAAATCAAGTAATACTTCTCATTTTGTTCACAATTTGCAGTTATGCCCTAGTTTTTTTGTCTGTACAATTTAATTTCTATAGCATACGTAGAATTTATGGCTCTAAAGTGACAAAATGTGAAGAAGCTCCAACGGTATATAAATACTTTTTTCAAAGCACCTTATGCAGAATTTAAAAAAAAAAGAATCCCATTTGCTTTGGACTTGGAGAAAAAACAAACAATACAAATATTTGTTCCCAATTTCCTAAAAATTCCCAGAGCCTGCTAAATGAAGCCATGGCAAATTGTGGTTTCTCTCTGTGTTTGGTTCATACAAATTTCTCTGTGTGTATATGAATGTTAATGTTGCTGTATTACTTGAATCTGTGGCTGGTGCTGCTGCTGAAGCCTTGGAGAAGGCAGCTGGGGCCCAGACCCGTCCAGCCCACAGCCCAACTGGGACAGCACTAAGGGGAGGGGGAAGGAGGGGAACCCCAGGAAGAAAAGGGGTGATGGTGAGAGGGAGAAGGTCAGAGAGAGAGATGAGATGAAGTGTGAGGTGAAAATAGACACAAGGGGCAAAGAGGACAATAACAGTGAGGATGAGGGAAGGGGGGGTGCAGTTTCAGTAAAAGTAGCACACAGAGAGGTGACACAAGCGCACGAAAGGGTAGAATATCAGAGGGAAACCAGCAGCACATTTAAAATTACCATGTGCACAGATTATGAGCAAACAGCATGAATTGGATGAGGAATAAGGCACAAAGGAGCAGAGTGGGTTGAGGGGAATACAGCACAGGGATAAAAGGCGAAAGGGTGGGGGCAAAAGATACAACAGGGGAATGAAAAAAGGAAAATGTAGCAGAGAAGAGGGGGGAGATGAGTTTCTCCTGCCAGTTTTACATTTTCCTCCATAAGAGGAATCACTAACTTCAGCAAAATGATCATAGTTATTCACAGAGTCAGAAATCATAAACAGTTAATGCAATTATTTAAACAATAGTAACTCTTCTGATTTATATTATTCAGTGACATGGTGTCATCTCTGTGGAAGCAGGTTAACCTGAGATTAGAAGCGTGTGCTGCTGTACTGATGCATTTGTGTGGTTCATACCTGCTGCCTGTGGGGGCATGAAGCTTCCAACCCCGAGATTGATGACAGCGGTTTGCTGGTTTCCTAAACTCTGATCTGATCCTTGGTCACCCTAAAACACAGCCAACGGGTAACACAAGGCAAGATTATGAAATAAATACAGGTGGTAACAAACGGACAGCGATATGATACTAACCACATTTGTCCTATAAGTAGGTATTGGCAGAAAGCTAAATATTTGACAGAAAGAGCTAATTATAGGGTAAATATTCAAGGAAAAATAACATCTTAGAGCCTCACAAAATGCTCAAAACTTAAAACCCTCTAACATATTGTGATATTAGTACCATAAGCCGTAACATATTTTATTGGAATTGTATCTGATTGACAAACATAATGTTGGACATAATCGTGATGCTGAAGTAAATAAAATCTTCCGTTTTCAGGGTTTATACAGGAATAAGTAACTCTAATTTAATGCTTTTTTTTTTAATGCTCTTAGGAATAATACCCGTCGACAGGCTGCAGCCATGTCCCGAATTCCTCGTTTTCCAGCCACCTTTGTTGAAATTTGCATTTTCCCTAGCTTTTTCTCCGCCTCAAGCTTCTTTTCCGTACATAAGGCTTTACAATCAACTGGAAGCAGTTTCACGCAAATACATCTGAAAAATTGTTTTTATAAACTTTTTTTTAAATAAAGCAATAATCACATTTAATTAATTTTAATGCCAATTAAGGCCTTCATTTAAAAAATAATAATTTCATGACTTTTAATTATTTTTAATGACCCGCTGAAACCCTGATTTTGTTTTCAAATAGTCTCTTTTACATATAAAAAAAACAGTAGAATACAATACATTACACAATGTTTTGCAGAGAACCTTAAACACAACATACTTTGAAACATGGTGATGGCAGCCTCATGCTGTGGGAATGCCTATCTTTAGCAGGTACAGGAGAACAGAGTTACGCATCAATATGAAATCAGAGGGTAGGCAGACATATTTTTTTATTTTTTTCATACAATCTCAAAATGTGGCAGGTAATCTGGCCCCCGGAGCAGACAACTCATACCAATTTATGAAGCAATCTCAGGTACACTTTTTGTGTACGTCTATCAAATTCCACATTTATATACTTGCAAATTTTGCCCACGGTTAATTAAAAAATGTTCGAGTTAAATCAAACCTGATGGAAAACATCTGTACACATCAATATACCAATGAATGGAGAGAATATTGGTTAGATCCAGCTGTGGGCTTGAAATTGGTCCTTCTATTACATCAATTTGCTTTATGCAAAAACATTTAACTGTTGCTCTGGCTGCATGTTTAGACTCTTTTCAATTTATTGCCCTTTTTTTTTCTACATTAATCAACCGACAACCCTAACAACTAGTCCCTCTTATAAAAAAAAAAGAATCCCCACATCATAATGCTGCCACCACCATATTTGACATTTTTTCCAGTAGGTCAGAAGTAAAATGTTTCTACTCACTTGATCAGATATATCTTTCTTTCCACTTTACAAATATGCTCTGTTAGTTAAAAATATAAACTCCTTGTACAGAATGTTAAAGTTTATGCTTGTAACATGACAAAATGTCAAAAGTCTAACGAGTATGTATACTTTAGAAAGGCAACAATTTGCTTGAAGTCAAGCTTCAACAGCCAACAAAACTTGAGTTATACATTCTGTGCGTCATAGAGATATTATTGAACCCTACAGAAAAACTTTAATATTGGTGCATATCTTAGAAATGCTGTGGATGCATCGGGGAGAGATTGTATTGTTCAATAGTCAGCAACTTGAACTCTGTTTAAGTAAGCACATTTATTTTGTTATATAATATATTCAACTTTTTTTGAAGAATTATGTTCACCATCAAGATTTCCCAACAACATCAGTTTTGGCATCTACTCCTACTTCAGCAGAACTAGGCGTCGACACCCCCCCGCCAAATATTTCAGTGCACATTTCTTCTCACATATTCTTGTGTAATGAAAAATGTCATTTCAATGAAAACTTTCCAAATAATCACAGATTAATTCAATCTGGGTCACGGGGGGGGATCATGTAAGTACTTTAAATTCTTGTTTTAAAGATGTGCATGCCAATATACAGTATTAATTTGGTCTTTGAGGGATTGTATTTCCATTTTTATTTGTTGCTTCCCTCTATGGATTGACAGTAAGATCAAAACTAAACCACATCACCATGAAACAACTGACTGAATTTGCCCTGCTATAGCCTAAATATCTAAACCCCTGAGGTTTAAAGTTATCCAACATTTCTGTTTTATTTGACAATATTGATAAAAGGAAAATCTATTAAAGATGGCAGTCTTAGTTTTTAGATTTTTTTAAGACTTTCAGAGGCATAACAAAAAAACGTTTTCTATAAGTAATGAAGAAAAGCAGTTCATCATCCATGAGGCAATCTCAGTATTCCGGTTCATAGTGCAGTTAACCTATCCAATTTAAATAGAAAGTCTTTAATGGAGCAGTACCGACAGACAGAAAAATCAAAATTCTGAAATAGGAAACGCCTGGTGCATCAAAACTACAATTATTTATAAGCCAAAACATTCATCAGTGTCGAGACAGTTACTGAAAGAACCTAACTCAAGGTAGTACAGCTTCTAATATAAAATCAGAGTAAGAACAGCCATTTAAAAAGAAGCTAATTGTGTAAATCAGGAGAGAGTGAGACAAATGGCAGCTACCAGGAAGGTTGAGCAGGGTAAAGCCAAGTTGTAGATTTTTTTTAACTTTCTTCTTAATTTGTTTTTTAAAGTTCATACAAAGTGGTTTACATAATTAGAAGTTATTGCATCCTCGACTAAAGTATCTCACAGGTCCAAATACAATGACCCACACTATAACAGTGAACAAAAAAGAGGAAGAAGAAACATATTTTGCTGATCATATATTTTAAAAATAGTAATAAATGCATTAATACACAAGGTGAAATTCATCCAGAATCTATTGCCATAATAAAGCACTGAAAGGACGAACATGCTAATAATTGGTCTCCTCTGATTTTTTTTCTTTTTTCTCTGAATTCTAGGTGAGTAATTTACCCATTCTGGTACATTTATCACAATTTGTCAATCCAAATATGATGGGTGGAAGGATTTGATCTCAGCAATTAATGGTGATGTATTAAACAGCCAAATTCAACAGAATATGTAATAGATATCTTTTGATGTTTCCAACAAAGTATTTAGGGATAGCCAAATAATGTGGTCCACTTTAGATTCTTCGGAATACAGAGTTTAGGCTGGAAACAAATCATCTCGGAAAGGTTTAATAATTGGGCAGTGCAAAATATATGAGAATGATTCCCAATAGTAACACTGCCCTACAGTTCCACCAACAGATATCAGATCTTTCAGAACTCTTTTTTTTTTTTAATAATTGCTGGTGTCCAGTAATTTTATGTATTATATTTTATTTTAGTTGATAATTCTTGGTAAGGTGACTTTTAGCTTTTGACATCACCTTCCTTTGTTATATCTTTTTTAATAGCTCCTCAGAAGGGGAGGGCCGTAATACTCTTCCAATCCTCGTGCTTTGTGAAGAAGCTACTAAGTTTTTGTTCCATCCTCTGCCATAAAACAAACTGGGTTTCAAAAAAGATGGCAGTCGTTTAGAGATTTAAGTCCTTGTTCTGCATTTTGAGAAGTATTTTTTTTTTATCTTAGCTGTACTAATCACATATAATCATTGCCTTTTTTTTTTAAAGATTTCTGGTTTTGTAGACTGCCCACTAACCCATGTAAAGTAATGACCCATTTGCTCTGTATGTATGATTAATAATGATTTTGTGAGGTGCTTGTGCACATAGCAGGATGTTCAGTACCAACTTTACATGGAAATAATAAAAACAATCAAAATTCTTCAATAATTTTCTGACCGTGCCCCACTTTTTAGATCACACAAGACTTATTGGTGGTAGTGCATGTTCAAATATGTCTCACCGTCTCCCCCTGCTGTTGAGGACTGGACGTAGCGGACTGACTCTGCTGTGGGGAGAACTGGGACAGCTGCTGGTGCTGCAGAGAGTTAAAGATGTAAGGACCAGTGGGGATCTGGAGGTGAATAACATGGACACACCAACACACACACAAAAAAGTGGAGAAGTAAAACACGAGGAATTTAGGTATGAATGAAGGGTGGGAGGACGGGTGGAGGGAGGGAAATAATGTATGTGTGATGAAAAGGAGGGGAGGAAGGAAATGGGAGAGTTAAAACGGGCTCAACTCAGACTATTGTTCGTAAAAAATAACCAGAATGGGGATTCTTTTTTTTTTTTACATTTAGTTTAGTGCTATTGCTGCAGTAAAGAGCTTTCCTAGGAGACTCAGCACCAATGTTCCCCCTAATTTTTCATGTCTAAGCAATGAAGACCCTCAGGACTACCTGTTGGCAACAACATATGTGAACACTGAGGACACACACCATTATTACACCTGTCATCGACCTGGAAATAGCAAGTCACATTGTTTTTGAAAAGAATAAGAAATTACAGCAGCAATTTCCATTAGTTTATTTTTATTCAACTGATTTGGCCCACTTTTAATAAAAAAAAATTAAAATAATCTTTTTGTTAATGAGATGTGTAGCTTTGGCCAGGATGAAGGTCCAGCTCTGGATTAAATAAGATGTTACACCTTTCAGACATAACTTTTTGTTCGCATTAAAACATTTTGAACAATGACATGTGTGCTAATGCTTGTAATTCAGTATATTGTGAGTCAGTATAAATTCCTGTTACTATTTTAAATTACATAATTCATTATTATTACCCTTAAATAAGAAAACTTTTAAAATGTCACTTGAATATGAAAAAATCTGACTTAAATCTTTTCTCATTCTCCAATGGCTGTCCAAATATGCCACTTTAAGAGCTTTCTGGATGCTGTTTTGATATGATTCAATAAACTAAATCCTCTTTCACAATCAGCACTGGATGCTTGAAATGCAGCCCTATCCAGAAGCTAAGAGATCTCCTTTAGCTCCTCACATCTATGTGCTGCAGCCACCCTATCTGTGAATGTGCCGATTGACTGCTGTTTACATTTTTGCTTCATCATGAACTTGAAATAAGCAAAATAAAAATAAAAAACTCACAGAGCATTGTGCTGTGAACAGGTGCGTCGGAAACTGTGCATGTTGCAAGGTTGTTTAAACCAGTGAGTTTTATTGTTCTGGAAGCTTAGACTGATAAATTATTTGGACAGATACATATTCTTTCTGTTGGATTGTTTATTTATATACCTGGAGCTCTTTGATGTGCTCAAACATAATAATCCAAATACATCTGTTAAATGTATTAATTTTTATTATAAAACCGATTTGATAGTGATATTTGAAACTGGGATTGAAGAGTAGTTAATGTGCCAGAACAGCTGATTTATTCAACAAAGCCGGCTGGGACATCCAGCGTCCAGCAGGCTGAGGTCATTTGTGACATAAATACAAGATTCAATAAGAGCCAAAAACAAAATAATGATGATAAATGTATTCCCTATTCATTCGTTTAAAATATATATATATATTTATTATTTACTATGGCAAGCAAAAATAACTGTTCTCCATTTCTCTCTATTATGTAATAAAATTCAATGGGGACAGTTGTTTCTTGTACATTTATTGTTAGTTTTAAGTTGAAAATGGATGATACATGGGTTCAACATGACAGAAAAAAAATTGTTTTGATTTACAGTTTATGATGGATTCTATTTTATGTCCTGCATAGATTTTCTTGCTGAGACTGCGTGAGCAGTGCGCAGCTTAGAGGGAACATTGCTCAGCCCCTACAGTTAGGACAGTCCCTAATATCTCTTGTCCTATTGAGGGCCCAACATCCCAGTCAAGCATTACATATTAGATATCACTTTAGAAAGTCATACTCCCAGCTTTTCCAATGCAATGAGATGAGGGGATAACCAAAGTTTCATCTGTGCAACTAGTTAACACAACATGTGGTAACAAAGGTAAGGGAGAGGAAAAATGCATTAACATGCTCCTTATAGAGTAACAGAGGGACATACCTGCAATACGTTGAGTGGTCTCAGTCCAGAACTGTTGTTCAAACCAAAATGGCTCCCTGTAACAAACCAGGACCACATAACAGAATTAGAAAAAAAAAATAAAAATTTTTTTTCCTGTATTAAAATGTAGTTTTTTATTTTTATCATTAGTAATGCTTTACCTGATTGTTATATCTGACATATAACAATTATCATTATTCATTTGAATAAATTTTGAAAGTACAAATCCTTTCCTTTACCTACTTCTTTATTTAAATAACCATTGATTTGTTTTAAAGGAGCTTTATGCTGTTATGTTTTTGGATGCAAAGTAAGTTATCAATGCGCATTCAAATGGTTATTAGCATTTAGTGTAGACTTAAAGTAAGTATATATTCGGACCTAAAGCACGCAATAGTGGGTATTGGGAAGCTTTCCCTAAAATAAGTGATACACTGAACAGGTGTAGAGATTCCCAGTGATTTAAGCTGCAGATATCCATGTAAAGCAAAAGTGATGTAGTGCAAGTAATATTTTTATTTAAAAGGTGGACAAACTGGCAGGGTTAAATCACTCTGTTAGAGTATAAATTGTTGTCATACATGCATTCTGCTTCTCCATTCTGAGTGCGAGATCAATATTCTTACATTTTCTTGGAATGCATCCTTTATTAAAACTTTATGACTAAATAATTTGTTTGCAAAAACTAGAGAGCTGATCTTGGCTGGCTAAATAATGGTGATGCTGTTTAGCAAGATTAGGCTATTACGCTGATGAAGATTCTAAGTCATCCAGGTCTTAGTTTTTCCGTAAAAGTTTAAATAAATTCACTGGACTTGGTTTCCAAGATTTGAAGACGTTTGCTACCTCCCCAGGAAGCTTTCTCATTTCAAATGTCTGACATTTGAATTGAGAAATTATTATGTGCAAGCAGGTTGCAATTTAAGTACATTTATGAAGATATTTTGTCATTTCAGCTATGCATCCAAATGGAGCTGGCATTTTTCAAACTTGGTCCCAGAGTGGAGAAAATCTGATAACAGCACTTAAATTTTTCAGTGTTTGTACATGAGAGTCACGTCTCTTTCTTTTTTTAACAAGGACTCTGTAGCCCCATCTCCCTCTGCAACCAGCATGCAACACTTTGCTGTCATATTAGTTTATCACAAATGAGCTGTCAGTGCATGCCCTGTGTTTTTGTCAGGAGTTTGGATGTGATTCTGTGGCAGCGTCACCAAAGAACCTGACATATGTACAACATCATCTTAGTTAGTGCTGTTTGCAATTCTGCAGCAGTTTTTGAAAAGATACTGTAATCGGCCTGTTGTGAAGTACGCCTTAATGTTGATCCTATCTCCACCTACTGGAAAGGCATAGACTGTATAGCTGTTCTGAACGTCATTTACAATGTATTTCTAGAGCATACTTTTCAAAATGAGAAAACTCTGATTTAGAAAATCAAGAAAGTCCTGCTAAAATTGGGTAAAGCTAGCGAGAAAGCCAGTGCCAATATCTTCTTACCAGGCTGGGCTGCAGACTGCATAGTGGACATCAACCCTCCAGGTGGCAGAATTCCACTCAGATTGAGACCTGGACCCAACATGGGATTGGAGCCACTCATCAAAGTCTGGGGGCTGCTACATAAACCATACCAAAATAACCGGGATGAGACATGAAGAGTAAAAAGTGACAAATTAACGTGTCATTTATTTCTTACCACACAGAGCTGACCACATTTATGAAGTTAAGCCCTGCTGGGTTTGCCATGACTTGTGAAGAGGTGGATCCCGTGGTGATAGACGTCCCCATGGTTGGAAGAGGGATAGACATGACAGGTAGAGGCTGGCTCAGTGCCAACTGCTGTTGGGCAAAAGGTGTGAGCAGAGGAGCTTGTGATTGGCCCTGAACCATGGCATCTGAAGGGGTAGGCGTCACTGAGAGGGGTGTGGGGAGCGAATCTGTAGGATGGGGGGTTGAGCACGGTGTGTTGGTGGGTGTAGGAGTAGAAGGCTTAGGGGTCCCCGATCCTGAAGAAGAGAAAAAAAATGGACAGTCAATTTTTACTCAGGATTCCACAGTAAACTTATATACACTGGCTGACTCATGTCTGTCTGTGGCCGCACCTGGACTTTAGAATCCAAAACAAAGCTGTTTATTTATGCAGTCTTTTAATACTCTAATATGTAATAGCACTTCATGTTTTGTATAACTTGGATTATCCATTTTTTTTGTCAAACTGCTGTATATGTCTTCTTTTATGCTTGTTTTTAATAAACTGATTTGTTAAGTACTTGATATGTTAATCAATTAATTAAAAGGGTCTTACACAAATAAATGACTGATCAAACTTGTTAAGTAGTAATTTTATGATAATGTAGGGAGAAGATGACGTATAACTAAGAAATTCCAACATCTCCCAGAGGTTTCAAGCTTGTTTCCATTTTCTTTCCAAAATTTTTGGGACTATGTCTCTAGCTGGAATAATTCATCAGAATTTGTCATAAAAATATTCACATCTGTTAAACTTGGAAGCTGTGAGAAAAGCTGGTGGACCATGCTCCAGTAAAGCTCATGGTGGGCCCAAGAGTTAGTCAGACTTGGCAGCACTTACTCTGTGTGGAGCCCATTGGAGAGAGTGAGGCAGGTGACAGCAGGCCCACCTGGCTCAGCTCCATGGAATGCTTCCTGTTGAGAGATTGGCTTTTGGCTGGAGGCGGCGGTGTAGGACACTTTAGTAGACCACTCGTGGTTTGCGAGCTATACGAATTACCTGAAAAGAAAATATTAACCCCAACATTTATATAACGCTCAATATGAGAGGAGAGGAGAGGAGAGGAGAGGAGAGGAGAGGAGAAGGAAGGAAGGAAGGAAGGAAGGAAGGAAGGAAGGAAGGAAGGAAG